GGTCTGGTCCTCACTTCATGAGTTGGGGTGAAGGGGAATTCTTGGGCCCCAGCTGGGTTGAAAAAGAAGATGTGATATTCCTCCAGCAGTCATTTTGGCAGCCCATAGTCCTCCTCATTGCAAGCTCTCAGCTATTGCTAGTGTCTTCATGATTTTCATGCAAATGGCTGCTGGGCCAGGTCTGGAGGACAAGTGAAATCTAAAGCATACCCCAAAGGGCCTAACCTCAAGGAAGCTGCTGAGTGTTGGCTCTGGGGCCAGTTCAACACCTGCTGCTGTGGAAGGGGCATCCCATTTAATCCTCACAGCCCTTCTGTGAGGCAGAAACAATTATTCCTATGAATTCCTATATTGGTCCCCCCAAAAGTGTAACAACATTAGTCCTTAACCCCTTGGGAATGCTGTGGAGAGTAATGAGGTAAATCTGACAGCATCTGACATTAGGAAGGCACGAAGCATGATACAAATCCAACTGATTACTGATCCAGTCAACTGCAGAAAACACAACAACAGAGCTCTTTCTGGTCCATATGAGATAAATGGTAACTGTTATTACTACTCATTATTAAATGCCTGATGCTGATAATATGCCTGGCAGAGTTACAAATACCACCCCCCAAAATCATGGCTTCTGTTCTCCAGGTAAATATGATAGGTGTCTGTTACTGGGTGCCAGGTCTTGCCTGGCACTCCTTCACATGTTTTACCCCATTTAGTTCTCACGGCAAATAGAGAACATAAAGATTATGATTCCTAAATTTAGTTCCTGCCTCTAGGAAGAGACAGGTCATATTCCCCTCATCACCCCCAGAGGACACTTGTGAGTAAGTAACCGAAGGTCAATGCTTTGCAATCCATGCTCCATGGTGTGTGCCACGAATGGTTTATGGGTGTTCCTGAAACATATAGGGTCCTGTCAGCTCTTGAGTGGCCAGTCAGGGCCTAAGGCAGCCTCTTCTGTTCACATCAATGTTTCATACAAGTATTACCAATATTGGTGAAGAATTGCCAATATCGAGCCCCACCTTCATACCATACACATCACCATTATGTGTATTATCATGTATGTAAAATACATACATACATAATAAAACAGAAGAGGTATCCATTCCCCAAGTGGGGTAGAATTCTTTTTTATTTCCTTTGTCATTGAGAGCATATTTAACGTATCTGCTCACCAACTCATCTGCTCTATAAATTTTAGCAGAATCCAAGTCCAGAACTGACGTCTTCAGCCTCTCATGAGTCCTGCTTCTCCACCTGTAATCCTTATCTTGGTGAATGGAAACTCCAGGCCACCAGTCACTCAAGATGGAAACCTGAGTGTCATCCTTGGCTCCTCTTTGCCTTTTCTCCCCCAGACCCACCTCCATAAGACCCTTAAGACAGTGCCACCCTATCTTTCCTATGTGAAACATCCCTCAAATCATGCCCCTTGCTTCCACCCCCTCCTCCACTACTTTTTAGCACACATTTTATTTTATCTTATTTTAAAAAATTTTTAATATTTTATTTATTTCTGAGAGAGAGAGAGAGACAGTGTGAGCAGGGGAGGGTCAGAGAGAGAGGGAGACACAGAATCTGAAGCAGGCTCCAGGCTCTGGGCTGTCAGCACAGAGCCCAACGTGGGGCTTGAACTCATAAACTGTGAGATCATGACCTGAGCCGAAGTCAGACGCTTAACCGACTGAGCCTCCCAGGTGCCCCTTAGCACACATTTTAAAACCCACAAGTGAGAGGGCATTCTGTCTTGCCTGTCTTGTGTCTGTGACTGAGACTAGGAGTGTCTGAAGATGGCCAGGGATGAACAAAATTAGCTGACAGGGTCATGGATACAAGCAAAGCTCACGTTGGACCCCACTGATGAGATCTCAGTGCATTTCCTCACACCGGAGTCACAGAAAACCCAAGTCCCTCTTTATGATTGGTGCAGGGAGGATGGTCTTTCAAGAGTGGGACTGGTCTTCACAAGTGTGCTTTCCTTTGAGACGGCTAAAACATTGAGCTTCCCACCTTACGAAGTGGAGGGTCCCATGCTGGAAGTCCTGGCAAGAGGCAACTTTTACTGTTTTCAGTAATAAAACAGAAGAATAATGTGATTTGATAAGGATCCCTATGGCGTTTGCTCACTCATTATTCTGTGCCTGAAAGGCCTACCATTAGACTGCATCTTTTTGCATGAGACCAGTGGTTTTCAAACTGTGTTAGGGAGCTCCCTGGAGGTCTGTAGAATTGCCTCAGGGGGCCATAGGGAGCAGTAGGTGGAAGGTACAGTAGATGTAATTCTTTTTTCCCATTGAGTTACCACCATTGTTTTATTAGTAGAAATAATTCCCCAGTAGTGTGTGGTATCAGATGAGATTGGATAGTGAGTGGTTGTGCAACTGTCTCTAGGCAACCATGTCACCCAGGAACTCTGACCTCCTTAATGTTTTTGCTCTTCTGGGTATGGGACTTCAAGTACAGAATCCCCCTCCTTAAGAGGGTGTGCTGACACAAAGTAGGTCAGGATCCCATAGCTCCTAGCTGGGGATAGTGGTGCTTGGACTGCACTGCTGTAATGAAAGAGCACTTGCCTTCCATTGACCAGGGATTGGGTCTTGGCTCTAGATCCCTTGCTGGTGATGTGACCTCAGAATTCAGCTCACACCACTCCCCTTGTTTTGGGTGATTGGAGAATTAAACGAATAATGTGTAAAGCCCCTGTAACTTAGCAGGGTGTGAATGTCTGGCAGAGCTGACGAATGTTGCCACCTTCCTAGGGATGCTCAAAATTCACTGGGATAAAGGACTAGAGAGAATTAGCGTAGATAAGACAAAAAACAAAACAAAAAAAAACAGGTTTAATCTCTTGCTCACTTGCACACTCCAATAGCCATATGTTCACCATAAGAGGAATTGTCCACTTTCCTCACCTATCTGAGCTATCCCCTTGGGTTCATGGATTGTGGCATGATATAGTTAGGGGTGGGGGTAATGTGAGGGTAAGCAACGAAGGAGAGCTCAGACCTTGGGTTCAGTCATATTTTAGAAGCAAAGATGGAAAACTGATGACCCATACCTTTCTTTACTGCCAAACTGTCTCTTTCCACATGTAATTGCTTTTGTGTGCTCTAGCTGTTCATCTGACTGTTCAAGGGGTAATGAGACCCCTCTTAAAATTTACAGGTTGACTCATAGCAGACATAGTCATAGCAGACAGGAGACATATTTGAAGTTTCGCAGCTGATTCTGAGCCCTCCATATCCAGAGCAGAACCAGAAGGCTTAAGAATGTGCACAGCTAGGAGAGCATGACTTACTGAAAACCCAGGCAATCACTTCTAAAAGTGCTGAACCCACATAGGAGGAAGGACTTAAGGCCAGCAGAGAGATCATGGTCCCCCAGGCAGGGAGAACAGGGATGTTAATGGGGAGACATAGGGGAATATCTAGTGAGTCTGGGGCTGGCAGAGGAAAGCTCTTTTGGTGTGATGTTGTGGAATCCAAAGGTCTGTACAAAGTGGGAGGCAGAAAGGCCACGTGGCGCATCAAAACTAAGAGGGGCTGAGGTTGGTGATGGCAACCAAGGTCATATCAACAGCAGAGGTACTTCTTTCAAGAGATGATGCATCTGGATGGTCAGTCAGCATCTGGTGGATAGTGGGTAGGTGGCTCTGGGCTTAGGGTGGAGCCTTGAAAAATAAAATTCTCAGATTTGAGAATCCCTAGACAAGATGGGCTTGTGCTGAGGCTGAGGAACAGAAGTGAGGGCTCCTTGTTGCCAAGTCCTGCTTTGTTAAAGCCCATCTCTGCTGCTTGGGCTTCAAGAGTGGCTGTCGAGTTGCGCCCCATGTTTATCCATCAGATTTTATAGTAATATTTCTTGTTTCCACAAATATTCATATCCTAAACCCACACGTGTGAGTGCATGTACACACGCACACACACACACACACAGAGGCGCATGTGCACATGCATGCATAGACTCTCCCTGACGATCCTAGTCGTGTCTGGTGACTGATGTGAAACTAGCTATGAAGGAATGAATGCCCAACAGTCTCCCCAGCCCTTAAGAGTTGGGGCTCTTCTCCTCTTTGGGACAGGACAGACCCAGGATGTGGAGAAGCAGTGATATGGAGCTGAGTATCCCCACTGAATTAGGGGACAGGTTAGGAACAGAGGCACTGTAGGAAGAGGGGTGGTTCCTAGGCCATCAGGAATGGCTGCTGAGACACCAGACCTGTCACACTAACTTAACAGCCTCCTCTGTTCTGTACCTATGGGTCCCACCTTGGTTACCCTTCAGGGATGTAGAAAAAGGGCTATGAAAGGACTATGGGATTCCCAAATGTTGTTTTGTATCTGAACCCTACCCCACCTGAGCTTCATGAATGTTTAAAGACATTGGACCTCTGATCAACTAAAGGACAATTAGTTCACACAGAATACCCTGTACAAGTACTTTTTTTTTTCTCTCCTGGCTTTGTATAGGTGACTATGTGAGTTAGGGGAAAAGAATATTTTGGTGTTCCTGTGTTCTAGTTAGGCTTTTTGGTATTAAAGAGCACATCCTATATCTTTGTCTGTTGGACTTGTGATTCTAGGTGTTGCAATATCTAACAGGGCTTCTATATGTTGTTGGGTTGGACAAATATGCTCTAACCACTCTGATAGACTTCCTCTTCTGACATTATGTTGCAGTGCATATCAAGGCCACCCTGGGAAGGGAATAAAACCCTCATCATGAAAATGAACAATCCATAATTAGTGAAGAGGTTGCCTGTTGAAGAGGCTCAGTCTTGTGCCTGAGCCAGGGGTCTTGGGAGTTGACCGTATGTATGCAGGTCTAAGAGTTTTTCTTAGGATACAAAGATTTTTTTTGCATATGTTCCTCTCCCTTCCCTCTATATAAGCACTGCCCAGTTATTCTCAGATATGAAAAGTGTGTGTGGTGTTGGGTCATTCTTGCAGTCATTTCCCTCATTAGGGTCAATGCTTTCCACTGTGAAAAATTTACTCTCATTGGCTGAACTCTATTGCGATGGTGACTGAGAAACCAGCGGCACTGCCCCCAAAAAGGAGGGTGTAAAGCCTATAGAGCCAAGTAAGATGCTAGCTCCCTTCCTCTGCCACCTCCCCACCACAGCTGATAACCTCTAATTCACCTGAGGCTGGCATCAGTGTTGCAAGTTACATTGTTGGTAAGTTGAAGCAGAAGCAGTCAAAGTGTGACAGCATTTATTTCAAGGCCAGTAACAGAAAAGCTGAGGAAAGCAAGGGCATGTGGCTGCTCGATCATCATTCATGAGTCTGTCTGTGGCCCCCAGTAATCTCAGTTTCTGAGTTTCTGGTATTCTCCCTTACAAAGGCAAAGCAGAGTGACAACTGGACCCTTGGTAACTCTGGGGGAGTGAGGCCTGGCCTGGGGGCTCTCTGGATCAAGTAGAAGGAGAGGTGTACTGGATTGGCTGCGAGCAGTGAGAGAGTCAGAGGCTGCTCTCACCTGAAGGACCTGGTGAAATGTGATAGGGCTCTCTGGAACCAGCTCCTCCAAGACCCTTGGGGACCAGTAGGCTCTCTGGGTGAGCTTTTGCCATTGGATGGGTTCTCCATGGTGTCAGACCAAAAAACAAAAACAAAAACAAATTCCTTGGTGTCTTTCACATTCTGAAAAACAAACAAACAAACAAACAAGAGGTAAATAGCCTCATCCTAGTGGTCCCTGCCTTCCCTGACATTCATTAACTCATTCCATAAGTATTGTGTGCATCCTTGGCCCTATTCCAGGTGTTAAGGATACAGCAGGGACCACTGTAGCCCACACTCCAGTCCCCTGGGGCGGACATCCCATGGTAACAGGGAAAGCAGACTCACCAGTTCAGGAGGTGGAAGGAAGGGAGTGAAGATCATGCTTCGAGGAGAGTGTGATGTGCGAGTAGTGATGGAGAGGACTTCCTTGAAGAGATCAGCTGAACTCCTCACTCTGCTTGGTGCAAAGAAGCTAAAGGACTGGCCCCTCCACACCCCTCCAGCCCTTCTGGCCTCTCCCTGTCCTTCCTCCCTCCCACAGCTGAGTGCACTGTGCTCAAGCAGTGGATACATTTCTGGCATGTGACATCCTCTCTGTTCCTGTGTCTTTTACTCCCACCACTCCCCAGTCTTTTTCTTTCTTTCTCTTATTTTCTCTGAACTTCCCAGCAGGCTCAAGCCAGGTTTCTACTTGCTGACTGAAAAAGCAGAGGTGTTCAGGCAGATGGTGAGTTGTCATTTGGTGGGGATGCCATATTCAGGAGTGTTCATGTGGGCCCTTTCCACATGGGAGAGAGTCATAGGATTATGTACATCAAAGCTCTGGGGAGGGGTACGGGTCCAAATGAGTTAACAAAGCAAGGCGGGTGAGCTAGGTGATGGCATCCATAGTCCAATCAACAGTAGAGCTTTTCATCTCAGAGGGTTATGTGAGATTCCATGTCTGTGTGTCAGCTTCTGGCAGGTAATGGAGAGGTGGTTTTGGGCCTAGAGATCTGGGAAATATGAGGGACAGAGGGGAAGGGCCTGGGCTGGGCTAAGTTGAAAGCAGAACAATTAAGGCTCATTGTTGCCTAGTTTTGCCATATGAAATTTCATCTTTGACACTTGGGTTACAAGTGAAGCTGTGTAGTTATGCCTCGTTTTTACCACTAAGAACTATGAGAGTCTGTGCCACTGACTTCAAGGGAGCTCCCTTGCAAACATTACCTGGAGGGGAAAGAGGACATAGGTGGCCTCAGAATCTTTTACTTGGTTTTAGAATAATAGCGTTGTTTAGGGAAGCATCTCTTTTATAACTGTGAGGATACAGGGCTAATCTTCTCTGGGAGCCTATCAGGGGCCATGGCTTGGGATCATAGAAATGAATGAAGCTCGGTTGCTACTTCAAGACACTCTGGGAGAGAAGCCAAGAAAAGGATGATTACAGTAGAGAGCAATGGAAGGAAATTTACATGGCTATGGGAAGACAGAGGAGTGACAGCCAGCCTTGGGAATTAGAAAGGAGTCTTGGAGATTTCCCAGAGGAGGCATGTGTAAAGTGAGTGAGGGAAAAAGTTGACCACGAAATAGAGAAAGGGAAGTGCTTTGCAAGCAGAAGATCAGGGCAATAAAGTGAGTTTTTGTAACTGAAAAATCAGTAGACCCTGTCCTGGGGATTAAGTAGAAGTCAAGGTCAGTCACAAGGTTCCAGTACAGGAGTAGAAAATGGTGCCACACAGAGATACTGAACAGGAGTAGAAAATGGTGCCACACAGAGATACTGAACCCTGGTGTATCAGAAGCTAAAGGTTTTTTTTTTTTTTGGTGTTTAATTTTTTAATTTTGACAACAGTGCATCGAATATTTTTCCTCTGTAATTCATACTTTTTGAATGAATGTTCTACCTAAGATACCTCTGCCTAACTTCACAGCACAAAAAAATTTTCTCTTGTGTTTTCTTGCAGATTTACAATTTTACAATTTGCACTTAGATCTATGATTTATTTTGTTTTTTTATTAATTTCCTTCTACTATTTATTTATTTATTATTTTTTTTAGTTACCTTTTATTTTTATTTTTTTTTTACAAATAGTTTATTGTCAAATTAGTTTCTACATAACACTCAGTGCTCATCCCCAAAGTGCCCTCCTCCATGCCCATCCCCTCCTCCCCCCCACATCCATCAGTCCTCAGTTTTTGTCAGCATTCAAGAGTCTCTCATGGTTTGCCTCTCTCCCTTTCCCCCACCATTTCCGCCCTTCTTCTCCCCCTTGTTCCTCCGTCAAGTTCCTCTTAATCCTCCTATACGTGCAAACATATGATATTTGTCCTTCTCTGCCTGACTTATTTCGCTCAGCATAACACCCTCAAGGTCCATCCATGTTGCTACCCATGGCCAGATTTCATTGTTTCTCATTGCCATGTAGTATTCCATGGTATAGATAAACCACATCTTCTTGATCCATTCGTCCGTTGATGGACACTTAGGCTCTTTCCATGTTTTAGCTATTGTGGAGAGTGCTGCTATGAACATTGGGGTCCATGTGCTCCTATGCCTCAGCATTTCTGTATCCCTTGGGTAAATTCCTAGCAGTGC